GAGCTTCAACAAGCTTCTGATAAACCGGAGTGTCGATGGAGCCTTTGCTCCTCCCCTGCCGGAGATCAAGTGCACTGCCGGTGAAAACTTTGACCAGGCTCCTATTCCATTTTTCAAGACAAACGAATGCGAGTCCATCAACTTCTTTCTGAAGGGGAACGCAAGTCGTTGACCCGGAACTGATCACCAGCTTCTTCTCAACGGTAAGGCTCATGATGGCACTTTAGTATTTGCTGCGAAACCACGGGCAGGATGGATAAGCTACAATGGCTGCATTTCGCAAACACACATGGGCGGATGCATGCATGCAAGTGCTGCCTGCGAGCTATAGAAAGCCCTGCACGGCGGGATCATGTGTCAAAGTCCTGTTACATCCTATTGGCTTTTGGAAGCAATCAATGCAGAGTCGCAAAAGTGCACGAAGAATCCTGCATGCAGGGTCGAGTCACGGTGGCATGTCAGCCCGGATCAGCACCTTATACACCTGTGCATTCTCACATGCCATCACTTCTTGGCCTTCTTGGCAGGAGGACCAGCCTTTGCCTCGGCCTTCTCCTTCACCCGCAATGTGCACAAGTGATCACCAACGGCAACAGCCTTGGTGTTCTTTAACATGGGGAGTCTCACGATGCTCTGATTATTCCCCGACATGAACGATGTCTGTTGACCAAGTCCTCTTCCTCCTGGCCTGCAATGGCGAAGAATGGCGAAATGAATCCCTTCGTCAGGATGTTGCCATCGTCATCTTCCTTGGGCGCCTGATTGGAGCTTACAAGCCAAAATTCCCGATCGTCCATCTTCCAAGGTCCAAGATGGCACGGTGACCTGCACAGCATTCGGGACTGCATCCGCAGACTTCTTCTCTCGCATCAGGATCTTGCATGTGAATGGCACAAGCACAAGTTTGTTCTTGGCGAAGCTTTTCTTGCTGACCACAGACTTGAACGGCTTCAGCTGGAGCTGCAAACTCGTGGCAACCTCATCAGACGAGTGCTGCTCAACCAATCGGGCCACCTCGGAGTGGATCGCTGCAACGATGCTGCATGCCTGGAAATCGGGGGAAGATGCGGGGCCGAAATTCTCGAGCTGATCCAGTACCTGTGGCTCGGCTTTGGGCTTGAACAGCACCCACTGCCCAGACATGAACTCATCGATGCTAGCCTTCATGAGGCCGCCAGACTTCACTCCCTTCAACTGAACATGAAGTGCTTTCACTTCAATGATGACACACTCCATCTTATCCTTCTTCCTTCGGCAGAAGGCATCCTGCACAAAGCCGGAATCCGCCAGCACCTCCAACGGGTTTTTCAGCGACCCGTCGGGGCTCAGCTCCCGCATTCTCTCGTGCGAGCTGCTGGAAGCTTGCTGTGCAATGGGCTTCGTTGCCTCAGCACTCCCCGCCCATGGCGACACCAAGGTGAGGTTCAGCATGCTGCTCGTTATCACCACAGTGTCATGGGCGACAGCTTCGGGATGGCCGTACTTTTTCTCTCCCTCCCGGGGCGGCATGCCCAGAACCACTCTCGCCATGTTCGCATCGGTGACACCGAGGAGGTTCGCAACCTTGGTCCCGTCTGGCTTGTCCAAGCTCGGGCCACCACCCTCCTTCACCAGCTCTCGGAGCCGAGCCATACAGCGATCGGCAGCGACCGCTTTGGGCAGGGCCTCCTTGCTGAACACCTTCTTGATGGCAGTTGCTGTCAGCGAGTGTCCTGTGAGACCCAGCTTGATCATAGCTTGCCGGAAAAAGGGAACCTGATCAGCCCCTTTGCACTCCGTGGACAAGGCCTCCCACCAAGAGGGCCCCATCGGCTTGCTCTGCCCATGCGATCTCACATACATCTCTGTCTCAGTCAACATGAAGGCATCGCTGCCACCGCAGTACCTGAAAACCATATCTATCTATATACCAGACCACCCCAACTTTAGATACATATACAAACAATGAAAGCTGCGAATCTTAGCCCATCGCCGCATCGCGATTTTGAAAAGATGTGGAAGACATTCCCCGCACGGCGGCTTCGATGCCAAAGCTTGCTTCTTCACCAGGGCAAACTCAACTTTTGCCCCCTGGCGGGCGATCAACGTGCACACACGGCGAAGAAGCTGTAGTTCTGATTCTGTTTTTTGTAAAGAGGCATTGTAGCTCGACTGCACCATTTGCAGTAAGTCGGGCCAAGTGGCGCCGACGTCTTTGGAGATCAGGCGCCACTGCAGGCCGGCCTCGACGTGATCCGCCATAGTCGGGTCTCGTTGTCGAACTCGTTCCAAGGAGAGCTCGCCCGCCGGGTTCGACAAGAAGTTCGAGTCGTGCTTGGCGGCACACTTGACCAAGCGGAGAGCCCAGTTTGTGTGGGAGGCTGAGAGGCTGAGGGCCTTCAAGCGGCTCTTCTCCAAGGTCCCGAGCCGTCCCCCCGCTTGGGTGACGAGGCTTTCGTTGAAGTCCAACTCGTCCTGCGAAGACACTTCAATGGCGATAGCATTCACTCGGCTCGGCACGAAGCCGACGTGGCCGATGCTTTCGAGCAACTCGTGTACGTCATCGGCCACCAAGCAGGCCCCATCCCGATTCTTGGGATGCACTCCCACGAATTCGGGGGGGATGCGCATATGGGTCATGAGGCCGTGTTTCTCTAAGAGGGTGAAGATTGACTGGACATTCTTCACAAGGAACTCGCCCCCGGACAAAGTGCTCTTCACCAGGCTGTCGATCTCCTCCCTCGCATCTGCCGACAGCTGCATGGCTTTCGTGGGAAGTTCAACAAAGCTCAGAAACCGTTTGATCGCTGGCAAGCTCTGCAGAACATGCAGATCATCATGCTGCAGCATCCTTTGCACCATGCATGATCGACTCGAATGCACGGCATGCAAGTGCTTCGCTTTTCCATATGCAGAATGTCAACATTGCAGAATTTTCAACCAACAAACATCAACAGCAACACTGCCCTGCTAGGCGCATATATATGCTGCCAGCGAGCAAACAAAACAGAGTCGAACCAACAACAACAAATTTCGACACATTAATTTCATGTTTCAACCGTGTATATATACATCATCTGAAAACGAGGAGAAATACAAAGTGCCCTGCTGAAGCACACGTATAAACGTGCTGCCAGCGAGCAAGACCTGGTTTTGCAGTGTTCTTACAACTTGCTAAGTCGATTTGCTCAACTTAGCTATGTTACTTAGCTTCCCGACCTAAGTCGGCTAACTTCTTGGTCTGGACTTAGCATAATAATATGTCTTGCATCTCACCTAAATACATGCTGAACATATTATGTGTTTATCAAAAGCCGCTATGTAGTTACTATGTTATCCATTTCCACAGTCCAACTTGGTATACTTATATCCTGCTTAAGTGCAACATAGTCAAGTTAATAAGTGCACTTGCTCGATATACCTATCTTACACATGTCTGCTATCTACTTACTAAACAAGCCGCCCTGTCAAGCAGGGGAAGGGGAAGTTACAGCCCTAGACGCGACCTGACTCGACGGGAGAAAGAGAGAGAGAAGGTAGCGACAGGAGAAGGAGGAGTGAAACAAGGCAGGCAGTTCAAGCAGTCCGGCATGCAGGCAAGTAAAGGGGGCAGAAAAATGCGCGCAGTGCAAAGCTGTAAAAGGAGAGGAAAAAACAGTTCTCCAAAGGGTCCTTAGTCGGCGTAGCCCGCAGGTCGTGTGTTGCACACGAGGGCAGTGATCAGAGAAACCCTTTTATTCAACGGTGACGACGACATCCTCATCAGCTTCAGCTTCTGCATCCATGTCACCACCCAACGACGAGGACGACGCAATGTCACCGGGTACACCACCATTCCTGTCCGCGGCTACCTGGGTCGGGGCTTCTTTGGTTTCGGTACCATGGCGAGGCTTCTTCGCCGAGGGCTGGGCAGGTGAGGCAGGCGACTCACAAACAAGGATATACTCACTGCTTTTAGGAGGTCTCGAGCCCTGTAGAAGGGAGTCCCGTATCAGAAGTTGTCCGTTAGGGATACAGTAGAGGGTGGGCCTGAGTTGGTTCTGGACCTCGGACAGCTCAGGTGCACGAAAACCTCTATCAAGAAGGTAGTCACGAACATGAGAGGCCAGAGTGCTGGAGTACGCACTGCAGAAGGCCGTAATGATTATGCGTCTTGTGGGGGGTTGTAGGGCAAAGCCAGCATGAAGAAGTCTGCGCGTGTCGACCACAGCTGGTTTGGGGGAAAGCGGAACAATAGACCCTTTAAGCCGCACCCCTTCATGCCACAGTTCGACTGTTCCACATTTGTCGAGAACCCACAGTCCTTCTCCTTGTCGTTGTGGGGTTAGGGCAAAGACGAGGGCCGGGAACGGGGCATTACGGGTATCCCTGTGGGCTGGGGCTCGTCACGAATTCCTTCTCTAACAATAACAGTGTTAAAGCGGAAACCAACAGGCGCGATTTGTCTTACAAATTTTGTAAAGAGGTCACAGGTTTGGGGCGCTAGAACAGTGCTAAGCAGCTAAGCAGGACTTCCGACGAGTGTCTAGGGCTGCTACCACACATAGTAGTCGTAGTAGTAGTAGTAGTAGTTTCTAGTAGCAGTATTAGTAGCAGTAGCAGTAGTAGTAGTAGTAGTAGTAGTAGTAGTAGTAGTAGTAGTAGTGTAGTAGTAGTAGTAGTATATAGTAGTAGTAGTAGTAGTAGTAGTAGCAGTAGTAGTAGTAGTAGTAGTATATAGTAGTAGTAGTAGTAGTAGTAGTAGTTGTTGTAGTAGTAGTAGTAGTAGTAGTAGTAGTAGTAGTAGTAGTAGTAGTAGTAGTATATAGTAGTAGTAGTAGTAGTAGTAGTAGTAGTAGTAGTAGTAGTAGTAGTAGTAGTAGTGTTGTAGTATATAGTAGTAGTAGTAGTAGTAGTAGTAGTAGTAGCAGTAGTAGTAGTAGTAGTAGTAGTAGTAGTAGTAGTAGTAGTAGTAGTAGTAGTAGTAGTAGTAGGTAGTAGTAGGAGTAGTAGGAGTAGTAGGAGTAGTAGTAGTAGTAGTAGTAGTATAGTAGTAGTAGTAGTAGTAGTAGTAGTAGTAGTAGTAGTAGTAGTAGTAGTAGTAGTAGTAGTAGTAGTGGTAGTAGTAGTAGTAGTAGTAGTAGTAGTAGTAGTATATAGTAGTAGTAGTAGTAGTAGTAGTAGTAGTAGTGGTGGATGTAGTGCTGGTGGTGGCGGTGGTGGTGGTAGTGGTCATGGTAGCGGTAAAAGCAATAGTAGCACTGGCGGCAGCAAGTGGCCGAGGTCACATGTGGGGACTCGGGTACATACATATATATATATATAAATATATATATAATATACACACAAACACACACATACAGAAGCAAACCAGTCAACTTGTGAAGTCTGACTGGAATGGCTCCGGGCACAGTAAGCGTGCATGACAGTGTCGGAATTCGATGATTCTCCGCGAGAAGAAATTACATCGGGCTTTCGACGCCGCGTGCAAAGGGGAAGAGTTGGCTGGGCCATTCTTGCCTGGGAACGTCTCAAGTTCAAGGAACGACTTTTTCCAACGCTGCGCCGACTCGTCAGGATTCTTTGTCTCAGAACTCGGGGCATGGCACAGCTCCTGTATGCGTGTGGCAAAAATGCGAGAGCCGGGGGCTGAGATCCTTGTTTTGTATTGCGGTTCTGTTTCCTGACGTGACATGTTGAGCCGTAATTTTCTTCGGGCTTGACCGACCGGCGGGATGGTTCACCAAAGAGCAGCAAGCTACGCTGAACCGACGCCCCATGCCAGACAAAGCACCCAGGGCTACTGGCCGAAGAAATCGTCGATGTATGGAAAGGGCTGATCCTTGGTTCGTCCCGGACCATGCATGGGTTGCAAACATCGTCTGAATCTTGCGAGTTACTGGGTCTAGGTCTAAAGCCGCTGGTCACTGAAACTGCGAAGGACCATCTGCAACCTACCCCTTACAGCGAAACTGCAAGCCTCAAGCCCGAACTTGCACATGCCCCAACCCTACCACACGCGGCCGTGTACAATTTGCAACATGGCCTGCAGACTTGGTGCAGCCAGATGCCAACGAAGAATCCTATACCGTTCGAGGAATCCAACTGTGGATGCATTGGTGCAGGTGCAGTACTGCTCGGCAGCATATATGATCTCGGTTCTCGGTGCGCCGACCACCCCCCCCAATGGTATCCCCGCCCCCCCCCCCCCGGTGCCCGGATCCTCGTGACTGTGCACACTTCTCCCACATGGCGGCTCCAAAACCGTCAACCGTCACGAGGATCTCGTCCCAAACACACCCCATCCTTGTGACTGTGGACACTTTCCACCCGTGACTCCGATGTCAGGGTATTAAAAATGCAACTGTCACGCGGATCGCATTCCTCAGAGGCCCCGAACTACACCACACCGCAGCGCAAGCAGACCCAAACCCGAAGCACGCCACACCACGGGGGCGGAGGGCAAGCAACCCGAGCAGACACAAACCGCGAACCACGCCAGCGCGGGGAGTGATGATGATGATGATGACGATGATGATGCTGACGGTGATGGTGATGGTGATGGTGATGATGATGATGATGGTGATGATGACGATACATACGCGAACTATGCCAGCACACCACAGCACCGCAAACAGACCGAAACAGGAGCACACCACAGGGGGGGAGGGGCACCCCAAGCAGACCGAAACCCTGAAACACCACACCACAAGGCACGTCAGGAGATGTTGACGGATGAAGATGATGATGACGCCGCTGATGTTGCTGCTGCTGTAGGGGCCGGGCCGCGGGCACATCCACACCACACCACAGGGGTGGGGGAGAGAACCACAGAACCACACCACAGTACCACAGTGGGGGGCGAGAGAGAAGCACACCACACAAAGTAACAAAAAAAACGCGAGTTTGAAGGGTTACCAACCATTGGGGGGGGAGGGCCGCACCGGGATCATATATACACCCGGATCTTGAGGCAAACAGCATCAATCATCGATCATTGCATTCTTTGATCAGAACTGATACCGTTAAAAACAGTTGTCGCAGGAGTGAAGGCTGCGAATATACTAATTAACATGATCAGGAACTGGCCATGCCCAACCTGTAGAAGCTTGATTATGTACCCTTGTTGAAGACCTTCACCCTGCCCTAATCCGCATTCTGAAGGTTCTCTGAAGATATTGAGTCATACCCTAATATACCCTATATGTGCCTTCACTGCGAAGCGCTGATGAAGTTACTGGCTTCGGAAGGGACTGTTTAATGAGACTACCTTCTCCGGCAGGTGCTGATCAACCCCAAATCGACACTGCCGTCGATTTCTCGCCTGGCGTTTCCTACTTGAATGAAAAGTCATAGGCAACATGTTTGGATAGCACGGATCGGAAGACTGTTCGCATTTGATGTTGGGCATTCTATCCTCGCCGTGCATACACTATAATTCCAATTTGCTGCTTTTCGCATGTACGACTTACATGATGTTCTAAGCCGACTTGAATCGAGACCCGGCGGTGCAATGTGTTTGTGTGTGGGGCTGAGTGGCAATGGGTGTGCGTGTGCATTGGTGTGGGCAGGAGGGCGAGTGGGTCGGTAGCACGATGCCAGAGTCTGCTAGAGTTACGGCGTAAGCCCTTCTCGCCGGACAGGGTAACTGAAGTTTCTGCTGGCGTTGACTACTTTGCGGAAGCTGTGCGTTTGCGAACTGTGGGATCCTTCGAAGCGACCACGTTAAGCAAAGACTCGTCTCAACCGGAAACACTTGGGGTCAACACAAGGAAAAAGCAAAACTGCAAGCAACTGGTTCTGGCGCTACTTTTGCTCAATCAAGTTCTCCTTCTGCGAAGGGTTCTATGTACTGTGCACAGCCAGGAGGCTGGGATCGGCTGGCCCAGAAAGTGGGACAGAGGTGCCCAGCCGTCGGAGAAGTCTATCAGGAGTAATCGGTGCGGTGGAATGGTGGCCTCAGTGCACGTCAGGGAAGCCCGTGCTCCATGTTCACGATTAACTTGCGACTGTTCGTTCCAAAGCACCTGCAATCCCAACGAGCTACGAAATAAATTGGGGGATCATGTGAGCTCATGTGCCGGCTGCATGACGAATACAGTGGAACTGAACGCCCTGGAGCTCCTTTGTCTCCTCCGATGAAATCAGAAGTCATTGCAATCCTGCTGGCCTGCTGCATACGCAACTTTGGGAGTGACAGCATGGGCGTCTCTACGGCTGATAAAATATTGGTAATAGTTAACCGCAGTTCCAAACAGCCTCAACATGTTTCTTCCCCCAAGGCACCTGCACTTTGTCGATGTGTTCACGGTAGGAAGCGACACACCGAGCTCGGTTGGGCTTCCCGGTGAGGTTCCTGTGGAGTCTGGGCTTAGTAGACTCATGCGTCCACGCGTGCGGTAGCATTTCGGTCTTTGTTCCCCACTGGTCACAAGGTCTAACAACTGCTGCCAAGCAAAGCCAACTAGCGTAGACAAACCACGTGGCACTTCGCGGCATGCATCGGCACGCTGTTTGTATGACATACGACTAGGCGGCTGACACAACGGGGTTGCAAGATGCTGCAAGCACATGTGTCGATGATCGCCTTTTTGTGCTAACACCTTCTGAAACCTGTAACGCCAAAGCGTACTTGCAGACTGACGATCCGAGAAGGGACTTTGCTGCAGCAACTGCAGTAACTCGGAAGAGCGATACCAGGAAAAGAGGACGGCAACAGCAGCGCAAGGCCGAAAAGATCACAAGAGCAACTTGATGCACCCTATCATGGAACCATCCCCGCACCGAGCCTTGGCTCAAAGAGCCTCCAACCTCTGAGACTTGGCACCAACGGCCACAGTATCCCACAGTATCTTCATCCCAGTCGCAGAAAATCGCAACCCCAGTTGATGCAGCCACTGCAAGTCCTGCTGACCGAGCTTCAAATGAGAGGGTGATCTTGTCCGTCTGTTTAGAGATCAGGCTGGATGCCGTTGGGGACAAGATCTTCTGCATCCCCTGGAAGCTTAATCGTGCTTGCTTTTAAGTTTCCAATCGGGTGCTTGAGCGCTGCCTTCTTAGACCCTGTCTGGCGGTTGGGGACTTTGTGTCGGGGCTAAAGCAGAGCTCAAACCCCACTCCCAAGTCCTCATCGATGGCTGCCGAAGGGTCATGGCTGCCAAGTAATCGAAGCCCGACAGTACGCGGTGTGCCGACGCGGCCTGAGCACAAAATTGTCCGGCGGGGGTGGACTCAGGCATGCTAATGCGAAGCGCTTGCAGCTTCCAAGATAATGTACCGGCTGTCAGTGGCTGAATATACAGCATGCACGACTCGTTTGAGAGCAGGGTTACTTGGCTCAATTGTTCGCAATACATCGCTTTAATCTCAAGCTTTACAGGCGTGGGTGTGTGTGTGTGTGTGTACACCTATATGGAGGGATGTCCAAGCCAAGCCGGGTCAAGCCATTTCAAGATAGAGCTCAACATGCGCTTTTCCAACAGAAGACCCCGTCAAGCAGAAAATGTGCCCGGGCAGAAGACCGCGTGCAACAAACGCCCTTACGTACCTAATGCACCCAATCTCATCCTGAGCCATCAGCAACGGCTTTCTGGTTACACTATGCCCAATTTGTATATATCAATACGTGCCAAGCGTAGACACGCGCACGCGTAGCACACACACACACACACATACCCACATATGTATGTATGTATGTATGTATGCATGCAATGTATGTAATGTATGTCTGCGTGTGGTCAGCTTTGAGGACACGAGATGAGCGGATTTCTCACTAAAGATTCAAGTGGTGAAGCGAGGCCAGTGCTGGGCCCTGGGCCTCGTCGAGGTCCTCGGCGAGCTCTTGGCCGGCGGCGACGACGTTGTCCTATCAGCGCGAGCTTCAGACTCCAAGTCCAAGAGTCCAAGGTTTGGACTCGGTGCAACGGACTGTTTTACTCCTGCCTTCCTGAAGCCTAAAGTGTCATTGTGCGGCCGAAGCATCATACCAAGCATCTGGATCCGTCACAGGCAGCAGAAATTTAGCCTCGGGAAATGCCTCCATGACCTGAGTTGGAGGTTGATCTCAAGCAAACCTTCGCTAGGAAACTGATGGACGGCTCAACAAACACGAGATGCGCAAAAGGAGAACGTCTGACTTTGGGGTTGGCGCCACTTCGAATCGCTGAGGCAGGCAGGGGTCACAGGACTTACAGGCCATGGTCTCCGGAACCTATTGTACCTTTCATACTAAGTCTCGATATACACACATGCACATACACGTGTGCATAGACATACGCAGGAAAGTCGGATATAAATACTTATATATATATATATATATATATATATATATATATATATCTGAGTGTGTGTGTGTGCGTGTATATCTCTGCGTATGTATGTATATATGTATATACTAACAAATACAAATATACAAATTTTTGGCTCCCGCTTGGCTGATCCGAAGACCACAAATATACAAATATAAATACATATATATATATATATACAAACATATATTATATACACGTACAGACAAGGCCGACCTGCGAAGCCGTCGGAAACTACACCACTTGGCAATCACGAGATGAGTCCTATTGTAAACTGCGACAAGCAAGTATCTATGTGTGTGGAAGTGCGTAACAACGGCAAGCAAGGAACTCATATCGCACACATTTAAGGGTCATGCCGCTTCATTCGCCAACCATGCCACATGCTGTTTCCGAAAGTGGATGGAGCCATGCATGTTCCAGAAGGTGGACCAAACCCCCAAACCACAATACATATATATATATATATATATATATATTACATATGTGGCAAGAATCTTTACGTATAATGTGACTTCCTCTTTGGCCTTGCTTTGGGTCTATTGAGCCTACTAAATAACAGCATCTTCGAACATCCTGCCTGCGACCTCAACCCAAACATGACAAAGAGATACTGTGTACCAGGTACCATATCCTGGTTTGGTGTGGCATTGCCAAGCATTGCATAATGGCACTCAACATGCGTCAGACTAATACAATATGTAGTGATGTAGCATAACCAGGCATAGCATCGCCTAGAACAACTTTAAAGTCTCGATAGGGGCCCGTAGAAGCCTCAGAACCGCAACATGTGCAGTGAGTATTTGGCATAAAGTTTTTTCATGATTGTGGACAAAATTAAAAACTGTTGAAGCCTATGCAGCTCTACGCCCGCCCCCCACGGCCCGAATGCGAGTCCGGCATTCCGAGTTGCTACGCTGATACCTTTTCGCTGAGACTAGCTTTTTTTGCAAGCAGCTGGTCGCAGGCCTTGCACTTCGCAAGCTGAGCATCAGGAAATGGACGGGGGGTACAGCGGGGGCGACTTCTACGTCGCTGGGGTCTCTCTCTTGTTTTCTCTCAGGCTTAAGGGGTGAGTTAAGCCCCCCGAGCACTAGGCCCGGCCGCCTTTTACGGGCTGTTAGAGCGGGACCTCTGTCTCGCTCTCTTGCTTGCTTGCTTGCTCTGGGGTATGAGCACATGCATGCATGCGCTCTGGCCCGAAGGCCTACCCCCCATTGCGCGATATTGCGCGCAGCTGTTCGTCCTCAAGGCCCCCTTCAGGGACAGGTGTTCCGCGCGTTCCTCCGAATGTGCCTGTTACCCATCCGGTCTCTTCTTCGTGAGGGCATGAGGGGCGTGTTAGACCGGCATCATGGGCGGTCTCTGTCTACCGGGCGTGAGGGTCGGGACAGCGTCCAGGTCCCTTCCCTCGTGCGCAGCGCACACCTGCGTTTCGCGGGGCGTCGTTGGGTCCTTCCGGGTGTTTTCCCAGGTAGGGCTCGGCTTTACAGCACCAAAGACTGCGTAGGGTTCGCCCCACTTGTTCACTGCTCAACAACAACACACAGCGAGTCTAGCATGCACAGATGCGTAAAGATGGTTTGATCTTGGTGGGACTCCCCGACTGAAAAAATCTGGCCAACGAATCCCCCAGTGCAGTAAAACACGTTCTAAACAACAAGCTCCACCCCACAGAAACAAGCAGTCCGGGCGCATGCTGGCCAGCAAAAGGCACAGGAGGAAAAGCTTGCACTTGCCGCTTTTCCGAGCAGGATACACTGGAACTCCCCTGCATGGAATTGGACGAATTAAAGCCTCCTGCCCCTTGATCTCCCGAAAACCATGCGAAGTGGAAGGAGTGTTGAAAAGAACCTGGGATTGGGGCTGTTGGCCCAAGCTGAATTAGGTTTACCCTAGAGGAGCCAACCGCGTGGCCCGTTTAAAGAGTCCACTCCCCCCACTGGCTCACAAACACTGAAGCTTAATTTTTTTTTTGTGTGCAAGGCATATGGTCTGTATGCCCATCAACCATGGCAGTATCAGGATGTGTCTGCTTTGCGAGGCTTTGTAAGAAGCGCATTCCATAGCAACCTGTCTTGAGCTCTTGGATTTATCGCTCGAAAAAGCTTTGTGTTGTCCATGCGCGGGATGTGTTCAGAGTTATGCACTGTTTTCACTGTGCGGATGGAGGGCACTGTCCAGTATGAGTCATGGATTCGGGCCAAGCCAGGAGCCATAGCCGTATCTTGATGTCGTATCCGCATATAAGCTTCAGACATAGCCATCTCGGCCCAGTGCAAACTGGGTCGGCCACTCCGGGTAGATCCGCGAGCATGTCTGTATGCTCCCGATATCAAAAAAGCGGATGTGTACTCGTGCGAATCAGGATGGCGGAGTATGTGGCCTAGGAGTTTGAGTCGCTGAAAGGAAAAATGTTGGGATGGCGTGGGTGTTGGGACTAGCGTGTTGGCGCGTTCGGACAAATATTGGTTTGAGCATGGGATGTTGGACGGCTGAATTACTCGATGATAATACGAAGACTTCAGACCAAAAATGCGGCGCATTTGTTGAAAGTGGAACTTGTTCACTCGTTGCATATGAACCGGCTTGATGCAGTATGATTCCATGGCGTAGGACAGAATTGATAACAACACGGACCGATAGATGACGAGCTTCCATTTGTTTCCCAAGCCCCTGTGAGAGAAAAAAGGCTTGAGAAGTTTTGAAGCGTGCACTGCTTTGGAGATGCGAGCGCTGACTGTGCGATTATCTGAGCCAGTTGCATCCAAGAAAATGCCTAAATACTTTACCTCGTCTACTTTTGGGACATGAGAAGTGAGTTTGATATTACCCGAGCAAACTTCACACTGACAAACATGGTTGGGATCAGGAGCATAATGCACGCGGTGGGGAGAATTGACTGCTAAGTGCTTGCATTTTTCGAGATTCAAGCGCAAACCCATGGAGAGAGCATGATATTGTAGAAGGTGGAGCAACCGGTTCAACTGAACATAAGAGTGGGACAATTATACTGTGTCGTCCGCAAATTCCAGGTCCCACAAACGTGATGGAGCCGACAGTACTCCAGCCAAAACCCCATATTTTGCTTCGTAACTTCTTTCAACATCCCAGAATAGACATGTCAAAAGTATATCGAACAAGTATGGAGACAAAGGACAGCCTTGACGGACGCCTCGACCTTGAAAGCCCTCTTCGGATGTGACGCCGGAGTCCCTGACCCGGAAGCGCGGAGAACTGTAGATAGCCATTATCGCCTTGACAAACGGAGGAGGTACGCCAATACGAACCAAAGATTGCTCAATAGAATGGAATGTAACGGAGTCAAACGCTTTCGCCCAATCTAAGAACAATAAATGAAGCGCTGAATCTTGCCTTTCGTGAGCCTCAAGTAGTCTACGCAACACGTGTATAGGTTGGGACGTTGATCGTCCCCGACGAAACCCGAATTGATTGTCGCGTATTCTCGGGTCGACATACATAGCCAGTCTTCTTTGCAAAAGAGACGCATAAACCTTGTAAAAAACATCAGTCAAGCAAATTGCTCTGTGATTGTCGAGGGACAAGGGATCCTTCCGTGCATCCTTGATCAGCATCACCACATCCGATAAAAGCCATGCGTCAGGTACTGCCCCCTGTGTTAAACACTTGTTGTAATGTGATAAGAGGAAGACTCTAACGGAATATGGGGCCCTCTTGATGAGTTCTGCGGGGATGGTATCAGGACCTGCTGCTCTGCCTGTGGAAAGATTCTTGAGACTAGCAGCTAGCTCTTGTTCGGTGAAGGGGCGAAACATAGAAGGGATTTCTTCGAACAGAGAAGGGAGAGTCTGCTGTGATGGAGTGCTGCAGCGCCACACTTCATCTGACAAATACTTCTTGAATGTAGCCGCCCTACGGTGTTGAGGCATCAACTTTCCTTCAGTGTCCTTTATGCCTGGGGTCCTCGGCTTGAACTCCCTACGAAGCTTACGGATGGTAGTCCATTGTTTCGGGGAGCTTTCGTAATCTTTCGACAATTGGGTTTTTGCAAACAGTTTCTTATCCCGTCTGGCCGCTGCTTTGATGCGATTGCGAGTTGATTTCACTTCGTCGGCCGACAAACCAACAGAATCCCTGAAGTCAGCAATAAGTTGAAGGGTATTCCGCGAAATCCAAGGTTTGTGAGGTTGTAGAGGAAGGAGTGGGATTAGTTTTTTGGCGTCCTCAATAGCTTCACGGAGATGTTGATTTTGCTCGTTCAGTGACATACCCTCCCAAGAGGAAAGATCCCAGCTACAAACCGGCGGCCGCAAGCTGCGGTCCTCAGAATGCGCGAAACGACCAGTATTGCCAAGAGAGAAGTTACCGGTGTACGCAACTCTATCGGCATATTCGTTTCCAGGGATACCGACATGTGATGGAACTTTGTGTACGGATACATGGTATGCAGCTCGCATGGCCAACCAATACTTTTGGAGAAGAAGCACCAGTCGGTGATGTGTAGCAGGCAAAGAGTCGCCATGCAGTATTCCAACCACGTACTGAGAATCAGTATATATGTATATGATCTGGCCGCTAGAAAAAGGTGCATGATTCAGAATATAATCGAACAGTTCGAGTAACGCTTGGAGCTCCGCTGTATTGTTCGATGAAACCTCGGCTCCCGCATATTCCGGAGCATCGGGGTTGGTGCGAACCTTACCGTGCGAAGTAATCCACTGCGCCGTAGGAAGAGGATGAGGAGAGGAATCGT